TCATATTAATAGATACAGAAAAAGCATTGATGAAATCCAGCACCTTTTTATGATAAAAATTTTTAGTAAAGTGGGACTAGAGGAAATATACCTCAACGTAATAAAGGCCATATATGAAAACCCACAGCCAACATCATACTCTTAAGATCAGGAATAAGACAGGATGTCTGCTTTCGCCACTCTTATTAAACATAGTACTGGAAGGCATAGCCACAGCAGTCAGACAAGAAATAAAAACCATCCAGGCCTGGCTGGTTTGGTTCAGTGGTTAGAGCGTTGGCCTGTGGACCAAAGACTCATGGGTTTGATTCTGGTCAAGGGCATGTACCTTGGTTGCAGTTTGGTCCCCAGCCCTGGTTGGGGTCGTGTGGGAGGCAACCAATCGATGTGTCTCTCTCACATCGATGTTTCTCTCTCTCCCTCCTTCCCTCCCACTGTGTCTGAAGATACATGGAGGAATGCCCTCAGGTGAGGATTAAAATAATAAATAAATAAATAGGCATCCAAATTGGAAAGGAAGAAGTAAAACTCATTATTTTCAGATGACATGAAACTGTATATAGAGAACCCTAAAGATGCCACAAAAAAACTGCTAGAACCAATAAATGAGTTCAGTAAAGTAGCAGGATACAAAAATAAACATACAGAAATCAGTTGCATTTTTATATTTATTTATTTATTTTTGTTAATCCTCACCTGAGGCTGTTTTCCCACTGATTTTTAGGTAGAGTGGAAGAAAGGGAGAGGGGGAGGGAGGGAGAGGTGGGGGGGGGGGAGAGAGAGAAGAAGAAGAGGAAGAGGAAGAAGTAGAAGATCCATGTGGGAGAAACACATTGATTGGTTTCCTCCTGCGTGACCCTGGCCAGGCAGGGATGAAACCTGCAACCCAGGTATGTGCCCTTGACCAGGAATCAAACCTGCAGTCCTTTGGTCTGCCTGCCCATGCTCTAACCTCTGATCCAAACGGTCAGGGCTCTGTCGCATTTGTATACACCAATAATGAACTATCAGAAAAGGAACCTAAGTAAACAGTCTTACTTATAATTGTGTAAAAAAACAAATCAGAAATCTTAGAATAAATTTTAAAAAAAATTTTTTTTATTGATTTTTTTAGAGAGAGAGGAAGGGAGAAGGAGAGAGATAGAAACATCAATGAGAGAGAACACTGATTGGCTGCCTCCTGCATTCCCTCCACTGGAGATTGGGCTCACAACCTGGTCATGTGCCCTGACCAGGAATTGAACTGGTGCCCTCTTGGTGCAAGGGTCGACACTCAACCACTGAGCCACACGGGCTGGGTAAAACCTCAGAATAAATTTAACCAAAGGTGCAAGAAACCTGTACTTGGGAAATTATAAGACAATGAAGGAAAAATTGAGCCCAGCTGGTATGGCTCAGTGGTTGAGCATCAACCCATGCACCAAGAGGTCGCCAATTTGATTCCCAGTCGGGGCAGGTGCCCAGGTTGTGGGCCTGATCCCCAGTGGGAGGCATGCAGGAGGCGGCCAGTCAATGTTCTCTCTTATCAATGTTTCTAAATCTTTCTCGCTCTCCCTTCCTCTCTCTCTAAAATCAATAAAGAAAATTTTTTTTAAAAAAAATTGAAGATACAAATAAGTGGAAGCATATACCATGTTTATGGATAGGAAGAATTAACATCATTAAAATTTCCATACTAGCTCTTTCCAACCCGTGCCAAGTCTTGGGCATCTCTCGGGACAACTGGCACAAGCACAAGGGACAACTGGCACAAAAGAAGCGACAATATGAGCTGAGATGCCCTGCTGCCAACGCTAAAATTGGACCCCACTGTACATCCACGTGCGATGAGGCAACAAGAAGTACCGAGCCTTGAGACTGGACATAGGCAACTTTGGGGACTCCCAGTGTTGTATCCACAAAACAAGAATTATTGATGTGGTCTACAGTGCATCCAACAATGAACTAGTCAACACCAAGAGCCTAGTAAAGGACTGCATTGTGCTCCTTGACAGCACAGTGAATCCACCAAGCACTGCTTCTGGGCCGGAAGAAGGGGGCCAAGCTGACTTATGAGGAGGAAGAGATTTTAAACAAAAATCGATCAAAGAAAATTCAGAAGAAATATAATGAAAGGAGAAAGAATGTTAAAATCAGCGGTCTTCTTGAGGAGCAGTTCTAGCAGGGCAAACTTCTTGCATGCATCCCTTAAAGCCCAGGCCAGTGTGGCTGTGCAGATGGTTATGTGCTAGAGGGCAAGGAGCTGGAGTTCTATCTGAAGAAAATCAAGGCCCAGAAAGGCAAATAAATCTTCCCTATCTTAGCTCATGCAGTAAACATGTTTGTTCTAAAACAAAACAAAACAAAACAAAGCTCATACTATCCAAAACAATTATTGATTCAATGCAAATCCTATCAAGATACCAATGGTATATTTCACAAAACTAGAACAAATACTCCAAAAATTTATGTGGAACCACAAACGATCCCAAATTGCCACAGCAGTTTTGAAAAAGACAGAGTTGGAGGAATCACGCTGCCTGATATCAAACTACGCAACATGGTCATAGTAATCAAAACAGCATGGTTCTAGCCCTAGTCAGTTTGGCTCAGCAGTTAGAGTGTTGTCCTGCGGTCCAGAGAGACCCAGGTTCGGTTCCCGCTAAGGGCATGTACCTCGGTTGCAGTTTGTCCCCGACCCTGGTTGGGTTGTGCAGGTGGCAGCCACTCAATGTGTCCCTTTCACGTCGATGTTTCTCTCTTTCTCTTTCTCTCCCAGTCTATCTGAACAAAACGTGGAAAAATGTCCTCAGGTGAGGATAAAAAACAAAAACAGCATGGTTCTGGCATAAAAACAGATGTATAGATCAATGGAACAGAATAGAGAACCCAGAAATAACCCCACACCTTTATGATCAGTTAATATTTGACAAAGGAGGCCGGAACATGCAATGGAGTAAAGATAGTCTATTTAATAAATGGTTTTGGAAAATTTGGACAGATAAGTGCAAAAAAATGAAACTAGACACTTTTTTTACACCATCCATAAGAATAAATTAAAAATGAATTAAATACTTAAATGTTAGACTGGAAACCCTAAAAATTCTAGAAGAAAAAAACAGGCAGTAAAATCTTTTTTCATAGAAATATTATTTCTGATATGTCTCCCTGGGCAAGGGAAACAAAAAAATATGTAATAAACAGCCCTGGCTGGTTTGGCTCAGCGTTTAGAGCGTCGGTGCGGTCCACAGAGACCCAGATTCGGTTCCCGCTAAGGGCATGTACCTCGGTTGCAGTTTGTCCCCAGCCCTGGTTGGGTCGTGTGGGTGGCAGCCACTCGATGTGTCCCTTTCACATCGATGTTTCTCTCTCCCTCCCTCCCACTCTATCTGAACAAAAAATGGAAAAAAATGTCCTCGGGTGAGGATAAAAAAAAATATATATATATAAACAAATGAAACTACATAAAACTAAAAAGCTTTTACACAGCAAAAGAAATCATCAGTGAAATGAAAAGGCAATCCATGGAATGGGAGAACATATTTGTCAGTGATACATCTGATAAAGGGTTTAGTATCCAAAATTTATAAAGAACTCATACAACTCAACACCAAAAAACCCCGAAAATCCAATTAAAACATGGGTAAAGGACCTGAAAAGACACTTCTCCAAAAAGGACATGTGAAAAGATGCTCAGTGTGACTAATCATCAGAGAAATGCAAATTAAAACCACAATTGAGATGTCTTCCCTGAGATATTTTCCCTCACAGATTTGTGGACTATGCATCTGGACTTGTTGCCCTGTTTTCTGTATATGAAAAGCCCCTAACTTAGTAGCTGTCCCATTTTCATTTCTTGGCTCATATTAATCCTCTACACTTCAGGATGATTCACAGTTCTTGGCTCAGAACCTGCTCCATAATTACTTCACTCTTTCCTGGTTCTGTCCTGTTAACAGTTTGTCAGTTGTTATTTACTTAAGGCTGTCAAGCTACTGCCTATAGGCCACCTGCCTGTTTTTGTAAATAAAATTTTATTGGAATATGACCACACCTATACATTTAGGTACATTGCCTATGGCTGCTTTCTTACTGTAATAGTAGAATTGAGTCATTGTGACAGAGAACTGTGACCTGCAAAGCCAAAAATATTATCTAGTCCTCTACAGAAAAGTTTGACAACTTCTGATCTCCTGTTTTGCCATTACATATAAATGACCTTTGGGCTGTTTCCTGCACCCTTTTCTCATCTTTCTTATTTGCCTTTCTTACCTTATCTTCTGCCTACTCACAGATTCTGTTTTCTTCTGGACTCTGTAATGTACTGCATTAGTCTCTACCCAGAACATGTCAGCACTCAAAGTAGGAAGCCTTTCTCTGCATCCCAAACATGAAAAATGCTGACAGAACTTTTATTTTAATTTCAAATTATAGAAGGGTGCCTTTGCATTAAAATACACATAACATTAAAAACAATCAAGAATGATTTGTTTCAGGGTTTGTTGAGTATGTTTTTACAGGATTGTTTACACTTTTTTTTTTCACTTAAAATCATATTAAACATAGAGAAGTTGTAAGTTCTAAGAATGTAGAAAAGCAAAAAACATATTGTACAAACCATCCCCTAAGAAATCGGTGTAGCTTTGCTGATCAGCTTTTTAAACTATTTTGAATCTCTTCCAAATTTTACTATATGAGAGTGAAGAAATATTTGTGGTCTTAAGGACCTCCTTCCCATAATTGATGGGGACAAATTCTTTGAATCTTTAAATAGACTTGGAAATTGAAGGAAGGTGGAGCTTTCTATTATTTTCTTTAAAAGAAAACCTCAAAATTATTTGGAAGAAGAATTGCCTTAATCATTCTTTTTTCCTTTTGGTTACTTAACATTTTTTTTCTTCTTAAGTATCTCTGGAAAATATTTGTGTTGGAAAGTAATCACTTACTCCTTCATTTTCTCCATTATTTCTTAGTAACATAGAAAATATATATAATTCTTTTGTTTCTTTCGTATCCTTTAGTGGCTTACAGAAGAGATGAAATGTGGTCTGAGGGACGACATGACTATGAAAGGCTTCCAAGAGAACGAGCACCTCCTCGAAACCACCCCAGTGTAAGTTGCTTTTACATGTAGAATAATTCAAAACCTAGAGTTTAAGTAAATTTGGTGCACCAAATTTTGGCCTTTTAACAAAATCTTCAGGTGCCAAAAATTTACCATTCTAGGTTGAAATATAGATAGATTAAACTTATCCTTTAAAAGTTAAAAATTTGAAAGTAAAGGCCAACATTTTAATCCTTATTTTATATTTTTGGCTTATATTTCTAAAATGGAGGGTTAATTTGTAGAGAAAATTTTAGGTTTGATAAAGGTCAGTCCATCAGTTAACAAAGAAGTATTTAAGAGCCTGTTCCTTTTATTTGACTATCACCTGTTTTTCTATATTCCTAAAAATGTTTGCAAACTGGATATACGAGATTCTAAAGGGGCAGGCAGGCAGCTTCTGGTATGCGGTCTTACTGCTTGTCCCTCTGTGGCTCTGTGAATTGGAAATTTTGAACCAGATCTTTTTTTCAAGTAGCTTGCTGGTTTGCTTATTAATATTTTCCTAGCACTATATGTAATATATTGCACATAGTAGGAGCTCAGTGTTTTCTGAATAAATATATGTACTCCCCAAAATCCTACATAGAGACCCAAGGGAGGGTTTGGGGAATATCAAGAAGCCGTCAATCTTCAACTTTTGCACAGGCCCATTCTAAGCACCAGGGGATTGGGCTTGTGGTCAGGGTGTATGGATTTTTTTGTTCATATGTTAGTTGTTTATTATTTATATATTATAAATAAATCCTACAGCCCACTTTGATGGGTGGTATTACCTTCATGATTGTCATTTGGCCTGGGTTACAGCTTAGGTTGGGGTTGATCTAAAATTATTTAAGATGGAAAAAATGAAGAGACCATACATATTTCAGAATGAGCAGACTTAATTATTACTATATTGATACCTTTTAAAGTTAATTTATAGACTTTATGTTTCTGATCCCAATATTTAAATATTTTTCAACCTTGATAAAAATATTTTATAGTTTACCTGGAACAAACAAGTGATATAGATAAACATGATGTAGGACTAATGCAGGGATGGGAAATGGGATGACTTTCTTTAGAGCCCCCATCAGCTCGCGGATATATCCCATTAGGAATTTATTTTTCAATGATAATTAAAATAATTTTCTGTGTGATTATGCTACCAATTGGATGTACAGTTCAGTTTTTTTTTTTACTTTGTTTTCAATTTCGGGAGATTGCCCTTTTTCTTTTTTAATTAGATTTTTTATTTTAATTTAACATATTTACATGGCTCTAAATTATAAAATAAGGTACAGAGAGGGGATAACTTACTTTAAATGGTAATTTGTTGTAATTATACATTTAACTAGTGCCTGCTTATTACAGGTGAAGGATTTTATTTATAAACTTCCTAATCTTCAAAACAATACTTAGTGTTGAATGGTACAACATTTATAGAACCCAGTAGAATGTTTTGGAAACTATAAAATGTAGGCAGGGATTTATATACAGGACTGTAATTTCAGACAATGGGAATTACTCATAATGAAATCATGGAAGGAGTTATGTTATAAAACCTCTAGTACACCATTCTGCATTATGTTTGCATACTGTGTTATATTATCGAACATGTTGCAGTGCAAGTTGGTTTAAAGAGCTATGAAAACTGGAAGCAGAGAGACCTGCCAGGAGGCTTTTGCTAGGCAAGGGAGCTAGTTCAAACAAGCTGTGGAAGAGTTTTAAGATGGGAATAATCAGTTATATCAGTGTCATGTGGACCAATAAGAAGGGCCCTGGAGACCTTCAGTTAGATCATTGTATGAGAAAGGATTTGAGAAAGTTCCTATCTAATAGCCTTTGTTTTTCTCTGAAATAAGAGATAGCAAGATCATTTGTTCAAAGTTGAGTTAGAAGAACACTTGAGGCCATCACTGAAGTTTTGGAGTAAACATTGCAGATACCTCCTAACCAGGGGTGTTTAATAAGACTTGCTAAGGGACAGTATTTTTGTGCACCATACATTTTATACCTTAGTAGCCAAGTTTAGGATTGGGGAAAGCAAGTTGTATTGATTTAGGATTGCAGGAAGATAAGGGTTTTGAAGGTTCTGACCCAGAGAATTATTGAGGTAATATATAATGAGATACGGACTGTTTTAGAAAGGGAGTGAGACTGTGAGAGGGATAGTGGATTGAAAGAAGTGAGGGGTTGAGGAACAAGAAAGGCTTAGTGCTTTGAAAACCAGGGTGTGGCAGAAGGATAGGCAATTGGTGTTTTAGTGTCAAGTTTTCAAAATGAACACTTCTGGGTGATTGAAGTTCAATATATGGTGGTAGGGAACAGAAGGTGGGTGGAGGTAGCTGGAGTTGAGATCAAGAAAACTTTGAGGCTAGATTTTTGGATCAGAGATTTAGATTAGAGGCTTTAAATCCTTGCTATACATTAAAATTACCTAGGGAGCTCTTAAATACCAATGCATGGGCCCCATCCCAGATAATTACGTCATAGTTATCTGCAGGTAGGATCTAGACATCAGTGTTGTTTAAAAGTTCATTAGGTGATTATTATATGAAGGGTTAGATATGCAGGTTGTAGATGAACACTGAAGTCACAATATCAGGAGTTGAGGTAAAGATCACAGGTTGATGGAAGTCCTCAGTCAATGAAGATACTGTAGTAAAATCTGAACAAACCAAAACATTTTCATTTTATACCACTTTTGTATGTGTAAATGTGAAACAGAGGTCCTTTGCCTTTGTAAAATAATTTCAATAGCAGTAAGCAGATAGACGAGTTTTATACCATAGCTGCTGTTGAAATCAGACTAGCTGTACTCAACTATATCTAACTGCCCAATGGGAAATCTTACTTAAGTTCTCTGGCTACTTGGTTTCTTGTAGAGGGGGAGGAAGTTAGATTGCTTTTCTCCATTTGAGAGCACAGAACATGCCCAGACAGGTTCATTCTTCTCCTTTTTCTTCTTTTAATTCCATTAGAATGGTCTCTCCATTCCCCTAATCAACCTCTCCTAGTTTATAAATCTTTCTGTATTCTCACATTCCCCTTCCTCAAAACTCAGATACATTTTCTTCTGATGAACTGGGCCTTATTTTGATTAGTCACATAAAGCCTTTCCTTTTCCTCAATATATTATGACCCTTTGGTGGCTCTTGGAAATTATGCCTTCTATGTTACACCTACATTTTAGTTAAATAAAGCATAGATTCTTAACCTTTTTTTTTTTTGTGCCATGGAAGGTGAAGCCCATGGATATCTTCTAATAGTGTTTTAAAAGGAGACCACTTATTTGAATATAATAAACCATTAAAAACCAAATTTGTGCTCAGCTGGTGTGGTTCAGTGGATTGAGCATCATCCCATGCAACTAGAGGTTGCCTATTCAATTCCCAGTCACGGCACATGCCCAGGTTTTGGGCTCAATTCCCAGTATGGGGCATGCAAGAGATAGCTGATTGATGTTTGTCTCTCGTTGATGTTTCTTTCTCTCTCTCCCTCTTCCTTCCTCTCGATATCTAAAAACTTAATAAAAATATATTAAAAAAAATTAAAACCAAATTTGTGATGTAGTGATGTATACTTCTTTAGTAGATCATTAAATCATTAAATATCAAGAGCTAGTGGTAGGGATTTTTTGCTATTTTTTCAAAGTAGTGATAAGTGTAAATGATGTTTTGAGATATTTGTAATAGCAGTAACTTATTATAAAAATATCTGATTTCTGTAGTGATGAAGCCACAGGTACTGCTATTATTGTGTTTGTTGCCTATATTTAGGTGAAAAAGTAATTTTATATTTACATCTAATTTCATGGACTCAACTGAAACTTTGGGTTAAAGTGTTTGGTAAGTGACACTAAAACTAGAAATGTAAATCAATAAGGTTATAATTTCTGGCTTTGGATTTAACAAAAAGTAACTTCAAAGTTTAAAAATATTTGCTTATGATGCAAAGATCATTGAATATTATCTTAAAAACTATATTGATATATCATATTGACAGTGCAAGAATGTTCATAAGCAGTACTATTCATAAGAATTTCAAAAGGACAACAATCTGAATGTCCAGCAATAGAATGGATAAGTTAATTTTCAATCATACGTCAATGAAAATGAATGGAATTTCCCCAAATGCAACAGCATGTATGAATCTCACAAACATAATACTAAAAGAAAGAAACCAGACATGAGAATATATCTTCTATGTTTTCTTTTATATAAAGTTTCAAAACAGGCAGAAATAGCCAAAAAGTGACTACTTTTGGAAGACAGAGGTAGTGACTGGGAGAGAGCACAGGCAGGCTCTTGCCTTGCTAGGAAATGTTCAGTTTCTTGATCTGAGTGGTAATTACACAGTGTGATTAACTTAAGAAAATTTATCCAGGAGTACATTTATGATTTGTATACCTTTTGGATGTATGTCATCAGTTATAATTTTACTTAAAGTTTGAAAAGGCGTATTATTTTTTTCTAAATATAAGACTGTAGTTAATTCTTTTTTTTTTTTTTTTTTATCCTCACCCGAGGACATTTTTGCATTTATCTTCAGATAGAGCGGGAGGGAGAGAGGAAGGGAGAGAGAGAAATACCACGTGAGAGAAACACATCAAGTGGTTGTCACCCACCGGACCCCAACTGGGGCCGGAGACAGACCACAATCGAGGTACGTGTTCTTAGCGGGAACCGAACTTGGGTCTCTCTGGTTCACCGGCTGATGCTCTACCAGCGGTTTTCAACCTGTGTGTCATGACCCCTTTGGGCGTCAAACGACCCTTTCACAGGGGTCGCCTAAGACATAACAGTAGCAAAATTACAGTTATGAAGTAGCAACGAAAATAATTTTATGGTTGGGGGTCACCACAACATGAGGAACTGTATTAAAGGGTCTGCGGCATTAGGAAGGTTGAGAACCACTGGTAACCGCTGAGCCAAACCGGCTAGGACTGTAGTTAATTCTTTTAAAAGTGAGAAACCACTATCATTAGTGCCTGGGGTGGAGAAAGATAGTACTCTATTTTATTT